TTCCAACAGTAAAAAATCGTTGTGTTTTATTTCATTCACCCTATACAAAATGTATGCTGTTAAGTCGAATCATAATGAAAAAAAGAAAAAGATCTTAAAGAAAGGAAAAGGAGTAAAGAAAAACATACTAAATAAGAAAATTTCATTCAAAGAATATAAAAAATGCATAAACCATAACTGTACAATAAGCAAAAGTCAAAACCAAATAAAGTCATTTAAGCATAGAGTTTATAATATAAAAAATGAGAAAAAAGTCTTAGATCCATTTGTTGACAAACGGTTTATAATACCAAATTCACACAATACATTTGCTTGGGGGCATTATAAAATAAACACATTCAAATGAAAATAGAAAATAGTCTATTTAAACGCGAACATATAGTTTTCAGTTTCAGTTTCAAACAATCAACACTCTAGAAATGATCTATATGCTTCACGCTAAGAATAAGAATAAGAAGAAAAAATAAAAAATTGTTTACGATGATCAATAAAAACAATTGAAAGTGTTTTATTTATCACATATGAATCATGGATGCTGTGAAGAGACCTTTTACTGTGCTAATTGAGGGAAATATTGGTGTTGGTAAAAGCACTTTCTTGCAGTATTTCAAACAATACGAAACCGTCGAAGTCATTCCAGAACCTGTTGATGCATGGCAAAATTTGAATGGTTCGAATATGTTGGATCTTGTTTATAAAAATACTGAGAAATGGGCATTTCCGTTTCAATCATATACGATGTTGCTTATGCTTGAAAACCACTTGAAACCAACCGAAAAGGCAATTAAAATAATGGAAAGATCACTATTCAGCGCAAAGCATTGCTTTATTGAAGTATTGACGCAGTGCGAACAAATTAAAAACGAAGAACGATCCATTCTAAACAAATGGTATGAGTTTACCGTATCACACTTCAACGTTTTGCCTGATCTGATTGTTTATCTAAGGACCACACCACGCACTGCGTATGACCGCATGCGGAAGCGTCAGAGAATCGAAGAATGTAGCGTCTCCCTTGATTATATTGACCGGTTACATTGCGCACATGAACACTGGTTAATACATCCAAACAACGATAATATCCCTGTATTAATTTTGGATGCAAACTTGGATGCGGATGAAATGAAAAGTGAATATGAAAAATGCGCACGCATATTAAAATTATTATAAACAATTCATTGTCAACTAAACCCAAATTGTTTTAAATAAACAAATTAATTTGGAATGAGAGTTTACGATAAAATCATTATCGTTTAAATGAATCAGTTTGATTTTGCATCGAAAACGATTCACTTCGCTCAGCTCACGAAATTTAAAATATTATTTTGAAAAAATCAAGAAAAAAAATCATTCTCAAAATGGTAGATGGATCACCAAACTCTCCATCGGACTCTTCTTCGCCAAATTCATCACCACTACACATAACAAACGATATGTGGTCTTTGTTCCCAAGCCATAGTGCACAATATAACATTATTTCTTCGTCAACACATGAAGAACCCAATTACATGAATACACGCTTTTGGCGCTACGTTGAAATCAATGATAATTTTTTTTGCATTTCCCCCACTACAATCTCACAACATATCTACAAGCGGAAGCCTCGAAAGCATTAGTAGCTTTTCGTTATCAGACATAAGTGAATATGAAGATATGGATATTGATGAACCAATTATTTTACATAATGATTTCGCTGATGAATTCATGAATAGTGGGGAAAGCACATATTCCAGTAGTGGTGAAAGTTTTTTTTTAGTGACGATTACTATAATAGCCATGAAATCTAGAACCCATGCATTTATGGAATCAAATCGGTCGTCTCCACGTAGATGATGTCTTCAGTGATATGAGCAGTGAAGATCTCGAGGAAATCGGACGATTCAGTCTACGGGAGCAAAATTGAACGCATCCTAAAACAATTTACTATGTTCGCCAGAAAGGAGTATCCATCGGCA